AAATATATCAATTCATGTGAATATGATGATTTTTTTTTCTCTGAAAAGGTGGTGTCTATTTACTTGTGACCACGCTGTGTATGTATTAACTTCAAGGTTTCACGTCAGGACGAATAGCAAAACTTCCCACTTTGCCCCTGAAGAAGAAAGGTCCATCTTTCGAAAGCGCTCGGGTTATGGGGTTTTTATTAATTTCTATCAAGACTTCTTGAACCTACGTGTTTTTTTAACATCATGTATGTAACAAAACTACAATGTTTTCTCTTCTCACTGAGTGATCTTTATCAGATCACTTTCGTAGCACCATAATATGAAAATTTGTCCGGGATAACCTTAATGTATCTTCACAGTTACTCGTAGTACATGTAATATGTATGTATGTATATCTTTTCCAAATCCATCCGTTTCCTGATTTTTTTTTAATGGCCTTGTATTTACGTAAGTGACATTAAATTATTACCTGCATCAAAATAAATACTAGTGACATCTACTGGTTTGATTAGACAACTATTCGGTTTTAATCCAAATCTTAAGAAATTGTTTGTTTGTTGGGTTGCCACGCACAACTTCTCGAGGGATATTCTGTGATAGCCGTCCCTAATTTTGAAATGACAGACTAGAAAGTAGACAGCTAGTCAATACTATATATCGTCAACTCTTTACCAACGAATATAGGGATTAACCGTCATATTATAATGCCCCCACGGCTAAAATGGCGAATATATTCGGCGACGAGTTTTGATCCGGCGACTAGTAAATTGCGAGTCAAGCGTCCTAACCACCAGGGCACGTGAGACCGTCATTAATAATATTCGAGCTATTTCTTATGTCACCTATAGTCTTCTGTGTCATCGTGAATCTAAACAACGCCATCTATGTAAGGCACTACTTTCATCTTTTGACCGAGAAAAGCATTATTATATTTAAATAATATATAGTATAAGTGTATTAACCTATGCTTGACTTACTCGTATAATATACAGTATAAGTGTATTAACCTATTCCAGGCTTACTCGTATAATATACAGTATAAGTGTATTAACCTATGCCTGACTTACTCGTACATTTCCTCAAGTCTTCTGATGACATAATCTTCCATCAAACCTCGAAGATCACTAAAAGAGTGTACGGACTTGAGACTACAGTAGCGCCGCCAGGCGGTGTAGGATGGAATACCGTGATCTCTACCTCGCTGAATGTTAACAGCAAATAAATCCATGCCGAACATGTGGTGGTGGCGCTGAAAGAGGTGATTACAGAGCTCTCCTGTGATGTACTCATCCACTTGTTGGGCCTTCTGGTTTAACAGGCCCAGCAGTAACTTGTCCATGGATCCATCTTGGAGCATCGATCCCGGGTTAAAGAATTCGTTTCTTAAAGCTCTAGCTGATATGAAGAATAGTAGAAAGTAACAAACAAAATAGCAGTTAAATGATAGCCATTATTTCCCTCTTTGTTAAGTTTTGAGAATAAGTGAAAAACTGAGAATACTTACCAAAAATTCATAGACTCAGTTTCACGTCTTCAGAAAAACGAACAAATCACAAAGGACAACATGACACTCTTAAATACAAAAAAAAAACTCTACTGCTATTAAGTATTTTGTGTCAAATTTAGTGAGTTGTATTTTTACTCCTGGAGTTATTAATATACTAAAATGACAACATTCTTATCATCAATCTCTCTCCCCAGAATGATAACAATAATGCTCCTTCATCTTATATTGTTATGACTACTTCGTAAGCTCTTGGTAATCTTCTGTTTACTTATTGTCCACAGTTATGGCCACATTGTAGAATATGTTCCTACTGCTGATGTATATTCTTAACAGATCAATATCCTGCTAATTAAAATTATTTTTTATACATTCCCATCAAGGGCAATGCGGTATAAGTCCACTGTTTACTATGATATGTA